GACGAACGCCTCGCCCCACCAATCATCATTCACTCTGTGGATATGCTGTGATTTTTTCTAACGTGTTTTCTTTCTGACCCCTTTACTTCTCTTTCTTGCCTCTTCTCTATCCTGATCTCTCTCTTTGAACTTTCATGTTTTTTACTTTCTCTTCCCTTTCTTCCTGTCCACACCATTTCTTCATTTCTATCTATTTCTATCTACTGCATGCGTAAATCTCTTACAGCGCGTATGTGACAAACTATTTTGGCAAGTTTCACTACTCAATACACTGGTCCACTAAAAATATTATAAGGAAGGCACGGGTGGAAAACATGGATTAGGGACCGAATGTCGCAGCTTCTCTGGTTTATTACCTTGTCATTAAACTTGCATCGCCTGTCAACTTTGTTATCGAACCCTTTGAATCATCTTCGGATATGCGGAATCGTGGACGCGACATTGTCAACATCGACCTGATGAAACCGCACTAGGGATCAGTTCAGCGACGAGCTGCGACCTTGCTCGCCGGACATCACCGGGGGTAAATGTAGCGAAGCGCAACGCTATATAGTGTCGCAACATGAACTGGTTCAGTAACCATATCTTACTCCAAGTATATATAAACATATCCCCTAGCTCCCATTGCCGGTATACGTACAAAACAAACACTGTTCAGATTCCTCGGGACAATAACCTAATCAATAAATTGTAACGTAATTTACATAATCACCATTACGTTGCGAGATGCACATACCATCCACGATCATATCCCCCACCCTTTTTTTCTTGTTGAGGCCTTTCTCTGCTCACTCCGGTTCCCCAAAAGAGAATAGCACGTACTCAACCTTTATATACGCCGGCACAATTCCCCGTTTTATATTAAGGAGCCTTCTTTCTCGCTCACTCTAGAGACTATAATAAAAACAATTTTCAAAAAATAAACACAAATATGGGATATTTTTTTAAATTACTCCCCTTCTGTGTTTTACTGTAGATCCGAAAAAGAAAACGGGTTCTTTTCAAACAGGTTTTGTGTACGTCGACAAACATGTTCCACTGGTTAAAATAAACACTGTAAGTCAATTAAGTTACTGCTTCACTGATAAAATTAAGTGAATACGAAGTAATAATAAAATGCCTATATAAGAGTGCTACATTGCTCGTCAGTTCTTCGTGGCCTAACTACACTCGTGTAGACCTGTAAAAGGTGCATTGTTCAGCTTGAGGTAAATCCAACATGAAGTGTTATTTTCCAATGATCCACCCAAACTGCTGAAAAGCTACCCAGCTAAGTATTGTTAAGTCATCCTGCAAGAGAAAAAAAAAATTGGCAGATCCCACGTACACTAGGAATCGATGATATGCGAAGCACGAATGAGAAATGTTGATATGTCACTTTAAAATCAGCGCAACGTTACGAGGTGGAAGTAAATGATGTCGTAAATGACTTCCGTGTCATGATTATCATGTTTGTATCTGTCGTTTACCTTCGTCATCTATTCACGTCGCGTGATACCAAATTTAGTATATGTGGAGCTAGCGAAACGGCCGTGAGAACGCTATGAGCGTGGTAAGTTGTCAAGTTGTTACATCACAGGCATGTCAGGATTATCATGTTTGCACCAGTCATATGTTTCGTCATCCACTGACGTCCCGTAACACCAAATTTTGTATATGTGGAGCAAGCAAAACGACCGTCAGGGCATCATGAAGGGCCCAATATACTCCAAAGTAGCGTTGACGCGCGCGCACGCTGGGCGCAGCCACGCTATACGTTAGCAAAACGTGAGCTCTCTATAGTCTGACGGCAGGCGCGACAAGCGTCCGTCGGCGCGGCCCAACGATAAACGGCGCAAAATGCGACTTACTGCATTTCGCGCCAATGCGTTGTCCAGACAACACTGCGTCTCCCCTTTTCGTCACGGAGGGACGCAGTACGCGCTGAAGCGTGCACGCGTCAAAGCAACGCAGCGCGGCGCGCGCCTGGAGTATGGCAGGACCGGCGCCTGGCGTGGCAACGCCAGCGTGACGTGACGTGGCATGCAGTCATGTTCTCACATAACACGCATCTCATGATTATCATGTTTGCACCAGTCACATACCTTCGTCATCCATTCACGTACTGTCATACGAAATTTGGTACAGTATTCGCTTACGACTGGATTATTTATCGTCCAGGACACTTCAGATCATCTGTCGCTCCAAAATGACCGCGAGGCTAATATTGGTAGGTGTAGTGCATGGCTTATGACACTATATGTCTCAAAACGCAAAGAAATATATTTCACTCACAAACCCAGCATATCCGAATTTTCTTACGCCATGGATATTCTATTCTATTGACTACAACGTAATCTCGGTACTTAGGAGTAACACTGACATAAAATCTACCAATGTCGAACTGCATTAGCGCATTACCTTGGCCAATGCTTTCAAATCACTAGGTTTTTTGAGACGTAGCTTGAATGCTGCAATTTCAAGCGTTCGCAAATTATGTTACGTAAATATGGTTCGCTATGAACTAGCATACAGCTCTTTGATTTGTTCTCCTCATCAAAAAAAAAATAATTGATTCACTGCTGTGATTTTTTCATCAAAAAACCCACAACTACCGGATCACCGTAACAGGTCTACAATCTCGCTTCACGCAGAATACACAATCATCATAGGTATTCCCGTGTATATAGTTCTACAAACGCCTTCAAAGACCCTCTGATTTCACGTGCCACTGAATGACCACATTGCCCCCTAGACTAACTGTGATAACTTCCACAATATCTCTACAGCAACTTATTTCCCAGACCTCAGCAAGCTGATGCTGTACCTTGCAGCGAAAATAATGGGAAATTTTGCCAACTCTTGAACTCGCTCTTATCATTGTAGCAAACATCTGAATCTGCTCGCATGCCACGTCATATATCGCGCCAGATCACACGATGCAATGTGTATTTCAGAAATGCTTTCTTTTTCACATTTCGTTTTGTTCGGCAGATATGGTGCTTTGTCTCTCTTTTCCTTAATTAAGGTAATTCACTACGGTGTTTTGCTACCATACAAATGTACTTCTTTCTTTGGCATGCGTGACAGTTATTGTTCATTACAGTTATTTCATTTCTGTGAAACCATATCCTTAGGATAGAACATGTTTTTAAATGCGAAGCATTTTGTAGCGAACTTCGGTGACTTTGAGCGAATCTGTTAATCAATCTATCTGGGCGCTTACGTTTGGGTGCTCTATAGTGGTCCCCCCCTTAACTTGGCGTGAACCAAAGTTAGCATGGAAGGGTAAGATGGTTTAACAAACATGACGCGCTGGTTAACACATGAATAATCTCACAATCCCGCATCCAACACTTCCCGTCAGACAGCGACACATACCCACGGGCGGGTATGTGCCGCTGGTGAGCGGGTATGTGCCACAGGTGATAGACGCTTGGTATTTACCTAAGAACGGTGAGAACACACATGGGCAACTTTAACGCGTGAGCGTTAAGAAACACCCGACATCGGTAGCGTCGACCCAACGAAGGCATAGAATAAATGTCAATGTTAAGAAAAACCTGACATAGGCAGCGTTGACCCCCCGATGAATGCAAATAATGTATTTCAGGCTCCCAGCAGGAATCAAATCCAAGCATTCTGCGTAGCAGTCAAGCATTCTACCGCAGAGCTACGCCAGGTCTCGGAACTACTTTTAAAATAGACGATAATCTTCGTAAAACGTCAATAGTGGTTGCAGTGCTGCCTACCTAATTTTATAAATATTACATATGCCCTTCTTTGATACAGCCGTCACGTCGAGTTAACGACGTGACGGTGATTGTGGTTAGATGCCATGCGCTGAAGTTGATTTATGTAGCAGTGTCCAGGGCCGGCATCTTCGAGAGGATCAGCGCTTCATATCAGCGTCTGGGGTTGCTAATACACACGTTTCAGTTGACATCGTTGCGCAAGTGCAAACAACTGGTTATATAAACATGCGCAACTCTTCAACATACGTCTGTGCGTACATCATTTGTACAAACATTTAGCGTCATTTCATGACGTGTCGCTCAATAAAAAAAATTGCAACACAGTGACCTTCCCTCCGCATGCTTCGCATAACGTCGATTCCCACGTACGTGGGATGTGCGGAATTTTTTATGATTGCTGTATTTATACATGCAAAAAAGAAATATGCCTTTCTCGCCATTCCTTCTTTTGTGTGTGCAAGAAACGGGCCGTTTATTTTATTCTTCCATCAATTGTATCTTTCGTGCGCGTTGAACTATAATGGTGCAATTTTATTTTATAGTTTCGCAATTGTTTCTATTGCATTGTTTCGCTATTGATATGTACACAAATATTTCATGCATTGCCCTCCCCCTACTGAATGCTTCCTATGGTGCCTGGAATACACCTTGAATATACACACAATATTATACAATATACGCAATAATCTTAAGACCCAACAGACAATAATGCCAAGGAAAGTATAGGGGGAGTAAAGCGAATTTCTTTTCTTTCTCTCTTTCTTTATTAGTTTATTAAGAACAATTACATAATTACCCAAGGAGACACGGCAAAAGGCAAACATCGCCTGACTGGGCCATGCCACCCATACAGCATTGTAATGTATATGTGCAGAAAGAAAAGTGCACGTTTAAAAAAAATCACATAGATACCAAATAAAGTGGCTGAGTGAGGGGATGGCTGCCGTGGTAGCTCAGTGGTAGAGCATCAAAGGCGTTATTCGAAGGTCGCAGGTTTGGTTCCTGCCCACGGCAAGTTATCTTTTCACCCACTTTTCTTTCTTCACATTTACATTACAATATATGTATCGAAAAGAGAGCGAGAGAGAGGATTATTGGGCGAATATATACAGTAGTACTACACATCGGAAGTTTAAAGTATGTAAGGACCCTCATTGTAAACAGCAAAACCTTATGAAGATCAGTTCACCGGTCGAAACTACGGGAAAGTAGACCCTTGCACTGATGCTGTTTTCGAAAAAGATCTTCTACATAATAAGATCTCACCTTTGGGGCCGCCGCTACTTCTCACAGCTGTTTAGATCCGCCAACGTCCTTTGTTGCGACGTCCAGTCACGCGCTTGGCGTTTTGTTACAAACAAGGAGCGAACCGGCAGGGAAAACAGTCGCTGCCGCCGCAGCCAACGAGTTTATCCGATAGTAACGTTGGCCGCAGCAGCGCAGTCGAACAGGACACCGCGTCCGCTGTTATCTCGTCGTCGCCGGTGTACTGCACGTGACGGCGCCCGCCTGTTCGCGGCTATCAGAAACCAGTCGATATGAGGGTGACTCACGGAAAGGAAATCCTATATTTTGATAATCAAAGGGCAGTGTGCGCAACTGGTTTCGCCGAAAGAAGGTTTGACGTGTCCGGCCAATGCTATTTCACAGTTTCCTTCGACCGTGGCGTAAGAATATGCATAGACAGCTGTTGACACTTTTTCGCCGTACGTATAGGACTGCGCAGTTTCCACGCTGCTTCATTGTGTTCCAGCTGTTCTCGCGTGGCATGCAGCTGTGTCGGCGAGGGCGCTACGAACAGCGGGGCCAGTCGTTTCGGCAGCAACGCGTGTGCTGCTGACGCGGGCTGCTGAAGCCGAAGCTGATATGCACAACGAAAACAAAACAAAAAAAAAATAGTTTGGCCGCGTATCTGCGTGTTTCGTTGGCAAAGGTCATCGACAGACGATAGTCTTCTGCTTGGAGTGAGAGAATAAAAGCTTATGAGATGCTCTGGACGAGAAGATCGGTGGGCGGGATCTTTAGTCCATGATCTGATTGGTGCGCGCGGCTGTCCTCGCACGTTTCACGACGGCCCCTCGAGTCTCCGGGTCCGAGCTGGACAGGGATGCCTCCCATCCTTTAATGGATGTTGTGCCTTGGGTTGAAAAAGGTGCATTGTGAGAACACCTACCTACATAAAATCGGTAAGCAGGTTATGCGTGAGATAATAACGCCATCTGGCAGTGATTTCAAGAAACTAAAGTGTGTCTAGAACGCAGAGCCAATGGTATAGATAGGTGGCAGCACCGTGTCATTTGGCTGAAGCATAGAAAACGCCCACTTTTTCGTTCACAGCGCCGCATCGTCAGCGCAGCGTAATAAGCAATGCGCCCTTTAGAATTGTGTACCTGTGCATATTAGAAATAAAGGTTCATACTGCATATTAAACGTTGATGTTCACCTAAAATATGCATAGTACTTGCTTTTCTGATTGACAATGTCCACAAGTATAAACGCAGCAAGCATATCAAAATGGCTGGGCATTGAGAAGGTGTTTAAACCTTATCGATACACATATAGTAAAAAAAATGGGGGTCATTAAGCTTCGCCTTTAAAAGCTTAAACCGATAGCGATGTTTTTTCCGAGTGCATACTTCAAACACCTAATGTACGAAATCTTTTCGAACTTGTTATCCACACACTACGTCACGCTATCTTTTTCGCCAAAGGTGCGGTTCAAACTTGGAGAGACAACGTTGAACAGAAGGCGCCAATAAAACTGACCCGCTGCTCTAATCGACAACTCACTCTTCTCCTAAATTTCTTTTCTATATTTCTTTCTGCGCTCTACTGGTTGTGCCATATCTTGTTCACGGGACATAAATTCTTGCCGGCGATCACCGCATAGCCTATTATTGTAACAGCCTGCAGCCATGAGATAAGGTCAGTCAGCCCGTGTATCTGGCAGTTTTCTCTATGTCTGTTAATAAGGCCGACGCGAGATTGGGTTACGCGAGTCATCAATAGTGTGATAGAAGCCACTGAGGACTGCTCTACAAACACTTTTCTTTTGATCGAATAAAGTAGCCGACCTGTAACACGCACCTGCCTGAGCTATTTCGGGCGAAGCGCGAAACATTTGTACAATTACCTACCTGAAATAAAAAAAAATCACCAAGCAATACTTGGAGCAAAACAAACCACGAGCGGAACAACGGGCCCCGAAAGCCAAGGGCCCAAACTCTAGAGTGTCTTTAGAGTGTAGACCCAGCGGATTTCTGTGTGTATACGCCCGTGTTGAGTCGATGTAGAGAAAGCAGTGGCTCACTTAGAAGCGCCAGTTCTCAAATGAAAGTAAATCAGCCTTTATTACCCGATCCGTCCAATTTCAAGAACCTAAGAAGAAACGGTCACCCTCCTTACAACTCCAGTACCGAGTCCAGAAAAGGGCGAGCGAGGCAGTACGAAATCTCGTGTCCGTTGTGTTTTCGTTTGTCCCTCTTTAGAATTTAGGTGGCTTTCACATAACGGCCTGAGAGAAGAGGTCCAAGAAGCGAGAAATGTCTTTTCAATCGAGCGGACTGAGAAGGCATCAATGAGAGGGAATAAAAAGAGAAAGGTAAGAGGTGAGGTATAATGGAATTTGCCATTGGGCTCTCCGTCGCGTTGGATCAGCCGGAAGAGGAAACGTAGTCGAGAGTGCGCAGCTCTCGAAAGCGATTGATTGCCAAAAGAAGTGAGTTGCTGTGCTCAAAGACAAAAGCCTGTCCTGCCAAGTGTGAGAACAAAGGGGGGGGATAAGGTGCCTGTTTGGATCAAAAGAAACAGCATGGAGTAGAATGGCACACGACTTCGAAGGCGCCCCGAAATCGCCAGAATGCGGCTACCGGAATCTTTTCTTGACAGACGCCAGCAGCGCCACTTTTTTGAAGAGGTTTGGGTTGATTCGTATGTGGGTCGCGCACTCACCTTTGTAGAGGCTGTTTCCACTTACCTTTACGGGTTTGTTTTCTACGAGTTTTGTTGAGACTCTTACGGGTGGGGTGAAAACTGCGCTTTGTTTGATGTGATAGACACCTGACAATGTCGTTTATTGTGTCTGACCCCGTACGTGATCACACTATCCTCCACGAACACCATGAAGAAGATGAATGAACGAAAAAAGGGGTATATGAAGGGCTCGTTTTTAAATGCGAATGCATTTATTAGACGTCCTATGTCAGACGTCCGTCGGGATCTGTCCACCGCCCTCTCCCACAACACAAGCTACGGGCGCGCGCTTATCCTCGCCCCTAGCAACCGGAGCGTGTGGTGCGAGAGAGTGTAGGAGAGTGTAGGTGCCGTGCTTCGCGGGTCTTTCTTTAGCCGTCCACTCTCTCTCCTCTCTGCTCTCCACTTTCCCGTCCACTCGCGCCTCACTCTGGACCGTTTGCTGGCGAAGCGCCTCTCGAGAAAATCCGGAAATGTATGCTGGAGACGCTGTTGTGAAACGCCAACGCGGAGCAAAGAACGCTGTTTGTTTTGTTCGCTTCATAGTATTTTAAATGCCAAGCATTTCTTAGAGAACTTCGGTGACTTTGCGCCTATCTATCTATCTATCTATCTATCTATCTATCTATCTATCTATCTATCTATCTATCTATCTATCTATCTATCTATCTATCTATCTATCTATCTATCTATCTATCTATCTATCTATCTATCTATCTATCTATCTATCTATCTATCTATCTAGCCGCCTATGACTTTTAGCTCTCCTGGCCGTTTCAATAGTGGTAGCAATACCAAACTTGGTATAGCGTTGCCTGACTATATGAAGAACATATTTGACTAGTCATAACATAATAATCAGGACATGTATGGCATGAATGTCATGATTTACATTTATTGGTCTTGCAGCTTTTGCGGCTGTTTTGTTCACATGGCATGTTGAAAAACTGGTATGGTATGGAATGATTGCATGGCGAACACAAGCGACAGACCCTAACATGAAAATCATGTAATGTGGGTCATGTGACAACATCACTACATGCCATGCTCCTGATGCGCTCGTGGCCGTTTCGCTAGCGTCACATATATAAAATTTGGTATTACTGTACGTGAATGGATGACGAAGGTGTGTGACACGTGCAAACATGATAATCATAGGATGCGTGTCATGTAACAACATGACTACATGCAGCGATCATGATGCGCTGGCGGCCGTTTCGCTAACTTCACTTGTACCAAATTTGGTATTACTGGACGTGAATGGATGACGAAGGTATGATACTGGTGCGAAAATGATAAACATGACACGCGTGTCATGTAACAACATGACTACATGCTACGCTCATGATGTGCTCGCAGCCGTTTCGCTAGCTTCACATGTACCAAACTCGGTAATACGTGACGCGAACGGACGACATAGGTAAATGAGACATCCAAACATGATAATCACGACATGCGTGTCATGTAACAACATGAATACATGTCACACTGATGATGAGCTAGCGGCCGTTTCGCTAGCTTCCCATATGCCAAATTTGGTATTACGTGACGCCATTGGATGACGAAGGTATGTGACTGGTGCAAACATGACAATCATGAGATGCGTGTCATGTGAGAACATGACTACGTTTGAAGGTCAAAGCGCCAATAAACTTTGACGTGACACGGTGCGCGTGCTCGCTGGCGTTCATTTCGTCGCGTCTCGCCGGCGTTGCCACGCCTGGCGCCGGTACTGCCGCAGGCGCGAGATGTGCTGCGTTGCTTTGATGCATGCGCGTTTCAGCGCATCCGGCGTCCCTCTGTCACGAAAAGAGGGAGACTCAGTGTTGTCTGGGTAACACATCGGTGCGATATGCAGCATGTCGCAATTCGCGCCGGTTGCCATCGGGCCGCACCGACGCATTCTGGTCGCGCCTGGCGTCAGACTATAGAGTGCTCGCGTTTTGCTAACGTAGCGTCGCTGTGCCCAGCGTGCGTGCGCGTCATCGCTACATTGGAGCATATTGGGCCCTTCATGATGCGCTCGCGGCCGTTTCGCTAGCTCTACATATACCAAATTTGGTCTTACGTAACGTCAATGGATGACGAAATATATGACTGGTGCAAACATGATAGTCCTGACACGCGTGTCATGTAAGAACATGACAACATACCACGCTCATAGCGTGCTCGCGGCTGTTTCGATAGCTTCACATACACTAAATTTGCTGTCACGTGACGTGAATAGATGACGAATGTGAGCGACCTATCCAAACATAATAATCCTGACACGGAAGTGATGTACGGCATCATTTACCTTCACCTCGTAACGTTGTGCTGATTTTAAAGCGACATATCAACCTTTCTCATTCGTGCTTCGCATATCATCGATTCGCATTGTACGTGGGATCTGCCATTTTCTTTTTTTGCTGCAAGACCAGATAATAACAGAGAGTT